TGATCGCGATGGCACGCACGGTAGAGAGGCCCTGCTGCACTCCACACCACACGGCGTATTCGGAACATCTGGCATATTGTCAATGAAGAGGTACTATTAATTGGGTCTACTAGGAAAGCTGGTGTAACCCCTATCACGTTGATGTTTGCAGACACGGTCGTGCACTGATGCGCAACGCGGCTCACGACATCAGTAGGACACGAAAACACCCGACTGTTAGGTGGAATAGCGGGCAAGTCACGCCGCCAGCATTGACGGAGAGCGCCCGTTCCGTTCCATGTCCTTTTGCCTAGGTACAGGGTCAGCTTGAGGGCATCTCCGGCGACTGGTCTCGTGGGATTGCAGGAGAACGCATTCCTGAGCAACTTCTTCGGCTGCGTTGGTTTCCTTCCGCTCACCACCAAGAGGTATGAGCATTTGTTCACAGTAGTCGGGGAATGTTGCTTGGTTCTGTGCTGCTACTCGTGCGCAAAGCGGTCCGCGTCGTGCAAACAGCACAGCGTTGTCACTCGCTGGTAGTTTGTCTCGCCTTCCTCACACAATCATCCCACACGTGTCACCTGTACGATGATCGTGCTGTTCCGGCAGTCACATTCGGGAGACGATGGTGAAGATCATGACATCCCCCGCCTCTCTGCAGCAGTCAGCGAGCGGGGCCGATTGTGACGGCGGAAGGTTCGTTGATGCAATCACACCAGGGGCGAATCGGGATAAGGCCTCAGAACGCCATCAGCTTCCTATGGACCCGTCGACATGCACATTCTGGTGTGCAATTGCTTTGGGGGCGCTCGCGGAGGGCAGCCCTATCGAGTCGGTAAGAAGGCGGCGTCACTTTTCTCCCTCTGCGTATGCCGGAGAAAACCCTTGTCATTGCCAAGGGAAGTAAGTTGACATTTTCCTGTTCATCCTCCGTGGCATTGAAACGCCAATTGGTCGGCGGTGTTTCCTTGGACAGCCATACAGCTTGTTCACACTACAGATTTCCCTGCCTCGCCCGGCGTTTTTCGAAAGGTGTCGAAGTACTCTGAACTGGCACAGGAAGCTTTGGCTTCGAGCGGCTCCGGTCCCGCAGACGTGGAGGTCGCAAAGTAAGTCACACTCGAGAAAAAAATATCAAAATCCTAACATCAACGAGTAATTCGGATGTGTTGTGGGCGATTCACCATTTATTAGCGCGATTGATCGGACACTTTCGCCCTATGCAGGGTCGCAAGGTTTGCCCCGTGGCTAGAGAATCGTGCTATTGGAAAATCTCACGCCAAGCATCCAACCTTATTGCTTGTTTGTTCATGTCCAGGGCATGGGTGATTCTGGCTTACCTGTGTTGCTTCATGGGAGACATGGTGAGCCATCGCCCTAGCCCCTGCCGTTCATGTGATGGCGCGTCCCCGTTGACGCGTGAAGTATCCGATTTCGTTTCTCCGTGTCGAGGCGGCAACGGGCGCACATGGACATTTGCAATTAACTGGTTCTCATTCACGACGTTCTCGCAACACATTGGAAATGGTCTGCTCCCGCAAACATGTTTCCGCAAACATGTTCCGTTGTTTGCTTTCTCCGAGGCGCTTCCGTCTGACTGATACGTTTGTACTTAGGTGGGGTTTCAGGAGTATCTGGCTCGTTCGGACGCGTTCGTGACGAGACGTATTGAGCAAGGGTCCGCCGATATGCTTCCAGTGGTGAGGGGTTCAAGTACAACCCTAGTGTTTTGGTAGTGACCGGGACACGAAGAACAGCGTCGTCTGCGGTGTTCTATGCGTGTTCGTGTGCGGTGGACTCATGCAGACGATGGCAGTCTCACTTTGCGGTCGAAGGCATGGCGTGAATTCATTTCCTCAGACACTACTTGCTCGAGACGGCGCTTCGACAAGCCCACTTTCCCCTTACGCTAGGGTTGGAAAGGTCATGGTATGGCTGACTCCGATAGTATCCGACTTGTGTGTTTTTGCGCTGACCAGGGCTTCGCCGAGATTGTTAAGCTCAAATATACCGCCCTGCCTTCCTGGGGACAGCAATGGCAGATGAAGTCGTACAGGTCCGAAGAGCAAACTACCCCGCCGCAGGTGTGTGGTCGGTTGCATCGCAGAGCCGTCAGGCAGTTCGTTCCCCAGCCAGAGCTGTGTTGAACGGAACGGATGTGTACCGATAGAAGTGTTGCGTACGTGCTTCACTCAATTACCGTCGGACAAGGCCACCTGGCAGGCAGCATATTTTGGCTCCACAGAGACAGTCCTTGAGGACAACAAGCGGCACGTACACCAATCTGAACTATCTCCCTGCGACACCACCCTGTGCCTTTTCATTCGTGCCCGGCCACCATTCTCGCTGACCCTTCAACCCCAGTTGAATGAAGCTGTGACGGAGGCCGAGCTGTATCAATATGTCGCTCAGGCGTACAGAGCGTATGAGCAAATTCTCCACGGAACAGTGACCAAGCAATATGCGACGACGTGCGAAACTCTATGCGAGGCCGCGTCTGACGGCAGATCAGATGGTGTCCGTGGGGCCGACCACGTTCTTCTTCCTCAGGAGGTGTCGGAAGCTATTGGAACGGTGTTGGAGAGTGTGAGCGGTCTCAGCTTTGAGTCGCTTGAAGAGGCGGTAGATCAGTGAGTCGAAGCATGCGATATAAACGAATTTGGGTATTCCGGCAATCGTTCGACATACGGATGATAAGATATATGTCAACCGGTATCAGGGTGCCACAAGCATGAATATCAGGAGCTATCAACGCTGCAACGGGCCGTCTTTCCTCGTTCTCATGGGTAACAATTTTCCATGCGCCCGTTGTTCGTGTCACTCGCATCGACGTACATGTCTCAATCGGACGCGGTGACTCTGGTGAGCAGACCAAGCGTTCGTGGGGGCATCGGCAGCCTTCTAATCAACGCGTAAGCTGGGATGCGTTCTACATGTGCTCATAGTTTAGTCCCAAGACCATTTCCAAGGATGCTGCAGATGGTGTTACCGACTGTTTCACAGTTTTTATGCTCGGGGGTTACTGTGGCCATGAAGGGATTAATGTATGGCTAAGATGCGACGCAGCTTTACACAAAATTCGTTCCGATTCAGCGTCTACTGTTTTGGCACGGTACTGTTGCTGAAAACTGTGGCCATTGATATAGTTGCTTTGTTGGTCAGAATGTTGCATCCAACAACGTACCATTCAACAGGGCAGGTTGCCCTCGACCACTTCCGCAAAATTTCTCATGAACCCTGCAGATTCCTTGTCTTTACGAAAGCAGCAAAGGGCGATCTCTACGCCACCCTGGAGAAACTAGGCCTCTGCGTTGAGGTTTTCGAGCGATATCCTGGCTTGTGTCGCAGCACGGTGGGGTAAGTGGCGCAAGCAGAAATGATGCGTCGATAAGGTTTCCCCCGATCATTTTCCACAGACGGCTTGAGCTCGTAGGAAGCTCGTTGAAATGGGTATTGTTTGACGGAAAAAATATGCAGTGACATCTCAGGTAAGAAACTTTGTTCATCCACACCTCACGTTTGTGGCGATGGCACAGTAGTCCACAGCATGACACATCGTTTCCTTTTGCTGGATAACGTATTTCGAGTATTCCGCTCCACGAACCATTCCCTATTGTGACTGTTGACTGATCTTATGTGGTTTATGATCACTAGTTTGTTTTGTTGAGCTCCATTGATGCTACTCTTTTGCTCTTCGCCTGGAATACCTAGTGTGTGAAACGCTTCATGTGCGTATGGTTGAGAAGCCTATTTTGGCCGATGCATGCTCGGTTCTGCCAATGATCAACACATCATGCTTTTTCACTCTCAATTTGTGTCCAGCTGGGGCTTCTGGGTCCTTGAATATTGACCGCTAGCTGATCTGGTCACGAGGTGTCCAAACTTTCATTCGATTGCGGTCCCTTGCTAGTCTACTACAGCTGGAGTATTCCTAGGGTCCGTCGTGTTGCCTGATGCCCCCAGACTCCTGCAATCTGTGTGCACGAGGCAATCTGTCTAGTGCAGAGTACCTGGTGGGTGATAAATCGGACAGAGAGCTGCAATATCACGGCGTTATCAACATTAGAGCGCATTGCTTGTCGTGTTTTATGTCTCAAATTGATAGTATTGAGTTTCGACCAAATCACGACACCCGATACTTCTCCTGATATGCAAAGATAGTGTGTTGCGGCTTCCGTTCAACTGTAGGGTACGGCGCCTGTGGCATGTGACGTTTATGACTTTGCCAACGAATGGGATATACTCCATTCAGATACGCTTCTGTTCCCACCAGGCATATGATCCTTTCGGACAAGTATTTCTTGGAAACGTGCTGCTCACGAGTGGTGGTGTGCTTCCTCTTGGTGTGATTTGGGCCGATTACATTTTTGCGATATGGTGCTGCGCTTGTTTGCGGCGGCGCGGATGTTTGTTTGCTGTGGAGAATAGAGAAGAGGAGGTTCCGCACGTCATGGTGTACCGAGCGGCATATTCTACAAATTGCTGGTGTCTAATGCCCTGTGTTTCCCTCTGCCCCACGCTGCGGATGGTCCATGAAAGATGCCACCTGGCCCACGTGGTGCTGGTAGGCCTTGTAGCGATTGGTGACTGCAGATCTCAAGCGATGTACGACAGGTTGCGGGGGTCCTACAATTCGTGTCGTCCTTCTGGCTCACGCCCCGTACCCCCTTTGGAGAAGTGGCACGGTGTGGATGCCCTCTGCGACGATCTCTATTGCAGGTACTTCGTCTGAAAGCATAGGGCTCTCGCCGATCATGCGGTACAGGCGCTCGGTGATGCGTATGTGGGGAAACGCGACATACTCTCAGTCTTGCTTCTGCATTGTACCGCGATGTACTTTGCGGCGCCTACACGACCATTGGGAGATCGCCAACACGTGCTTGCACTCACTCGCGACCAACCCTGACAGCACCTCCTCCCAATCGGCACCGAACTCACCTTCGACCGCGCCACTCGCTTGTAGGGCGAAGGACCTGGGTGCACAAAAACTCGAGGCGTTCCAGGCACCACCCGGTGAGAGCATGGGCGCCTGCGTTAGAACGAGGGGGACGGAAAGTGACGAGGGCGAAACCGCTTTCCAAGGTCACTGGGAGAGTAAGCGCAGCACGTTATCAGGGTGCAACATTGCTCAGAAGATTCTCGGCGGAGTTCCTGCTAGTTCAACTTGGGGGAAGCCCGAACGTCGTGAGGGCTCCACCATGGTCTCGACAGCACCTATTGCTTCTCCAGCATCCTCAAACAACCCGTGCCGAATATTGACGACAGAGATTTCCTTCGACCACGTCGAAACCAAAGTTGACAGCTTGGTCATCACTCCAGAGTCATTGTCAAGGTTACCAGACAAAAGTGAAGGGAGCGGGGAGTTGGAGGATACAGAAGAAGGCAGCATTGGCGCAGGGGATTGGCTGGACGTGACCCATGCCATGTTAGATGCACTCGGACCCGACTGACGAGAGCATCCTCGCGGAAGACAACTTGGCTCTCGAACTCTGGGAATAATGCTCTTTTGAGAAGTGTGTGGTTTGAGCACTGCAAAAGACTTTATGTCAGTACAGTGTAGTTCCAACTCGAATTCGGAGTACGAGGTATTGTCATCACAGGAGTCTAACGATTGAAAACATGTGGCCATTATTTTTTTCTGCTGCAGTACTTCTGTGTTTCCGAGAATGAATGATGTCGGAAGGTCGTGCATTGGCGGGACGGTAGGTGATGACGGAGAACTCTCGCCCAAAGGCGAGCTCCTTCATGACAAATATCCCGCGGTTTCCGTCGAGCATTGGGATTCTTCGTCCACGCACGTAGAGGCGTGATGCTGCTGATGCAGTATTTTCCAGTCAGACAGTGCAGGCGAAGGATTGACGTGCAATACTCTCGTTGTATGCGTACGACAAAAAATCAACAAAATTGGTCGTGCGCCCGACCTCTCCGAAAGAGAAACCCCGGAACATGTTTTTCAGTGAGTCCAAAGTACTGTATTTGGGGCGGGGGCGTTCAGCGTTGAAAAGTGCCGGTGCCCGGGATAATGCCGGCTTGTTCGGCCAGCACAGACGCAATATGTTTAAGAAAATGTGAGTAATGTCGTTATCCAGTAATGTCTAGTTCCTAGGTCAGTTCTCTGGGCACATACCGGCAGATTGTTGTGGGCCAAGCCTTTGGGTTTCATCCACAAGCAGTAGTTTTCGGCCAAATCACCTGCACCGTCATTTTGCCGATTCCCAGTCACCACGCTGCCACTGATGGTGTTGCCCCAAGTCTCTGTCGCCCTATCTCTCGCTTTCTTCCCGGGCCTGCTTCGTTCCATGCGGAGAGACGCCGTGATCGGTGCTGCGGTCAGGAAAAAAAATGCACCTACACAAGCTCAATCTATATCGGAGTGACGTTCGTTACACAGTACACTGGTCGCTACGAGAGCAACCATGCCAACACGACGAAGGTCGTCAGGCTCGAAATTATTGCTCTCTCAACGCCATTTTTCCCCAAGCGAACATGACCTCATCCTTCTCTATTCTTCCCTTTCCTCCTCCCTCGTCACTTTAAACTAGAATTCCCCTCTAAGCCACCACCATCCTCCTTTTCATCGGTGCACTGGATTCCCAACCAATTGGTTGTAGTGGTGTGTGGGTGCGCAGTGCGCAGGAGGTGTTGGGCCCCGAGCTTTCAAATGGCACTACTCGGTGTGAGATTCCGAAAATTCCAGTATTGAGGGCCCCGTCCTAAACAGTTTTCAAATGCCACTTCATGTATATGGGCAGTCCAATGTTTGTTGAAGTCCGGAGTCAAGCTACTATAAGAGTGTTGACTACGATAACGACTATTCCTTGACACACTCATCATACAATCTGACAGTTTCTGTATAACCCGCTGACACTTCACTACGGGCGGATATAACTTCATACTTCTCTGATCGTATTCCGGTGCTCAACTGTGTCTATGCGGGAGTTGCCCCTCCTGGCGCTCCGGAACGCATCTTTTGTATTTCTCGGTCGCGCGTAGACACCTTCTCATAAATTGGATATTTTTCCCCCTCTCTGCTCGGATGATGTTTAACCTGAATACTGTTGACGTTGTATCACCACATTGTGACATCGTTATCTCAGCCGATTCGACAGGTTCCACCCGTGTGGGACTGACTCATAAGGAGGGTTTCAGGCGGACCATTCATAGGATACGCCCAAGCGCATGAATGACTGAGTGAATGAATGTGTCTGCGTCACAACCGTTTGATGGAGAAAGATTACTTGTTGTTCGTATCGCATGCGCCACGTACGTCGTTATACCATCGTGACGACGGGACTGAAAATGGTTTACACAACATCTCAACTATCTTCGAGAGCATGATCGTAGCTCGAAACAACAGTCCGTGAAACCCCACCTCGAATTCACTCTACTTTTTCTCCGAACACATAATATTTCATCCAGCCTGATACTCTACTGTTGTTATGACTTTCTCTTGGCATAGATTGCCTCGTACGCTGGGCTGTTGACGCTCTTTCTCGCTATTTCCCATACAAGTATATTGTCTCATTACCACAAGTAGGTAAAACCACATCCATATTATTACGAGACCCTCTTTATTTGGGGGTGACCGTCATATTGCGGGTATACAACGGAATTCCGACGCATGACGGTCGAGGCCGTTATCACCCCTCCCTCCCAGAGCGGAGCAATATCCACTAAATCATCAGTGTACCTGCCTGCACCAATCATTTCTGAGCTCACGAGCTGACAAACAGTAGTGAAGATACAATAACTCCGGGTCCCAGTGCGCAGCCCCGGCAGGGTGTGCCGGTGTGTTGTGGGAAGCTTCGAAGCGGCCGCGATCTACACCAAATCAAAACGACTTGTTCTACAGCTGAACGCATATGGAAAGCTGAAGCTGGGAAATAAACAGGATAAGACCACGGCTATATTGTAGTTCACCCGCCGAGCATTCGTTAAAAAAGGCGCGCAGAAGTTGAGGGCACTACAGCATGTAGCAGGTGACTTTGCTGCGCTTGGTGTTGCAGATCGAATTGCTTGGGCATGGGGAGGAGTGGGTTGTGAGCAAGTGCGGGTGCAACGCGCGCACTGAATGCGGCTCAATTTTTGCGCGAGGACACCATGAAAAGGCAAAAAAAAATATCATCCGAAGGATAGATGCACGATCATTGGTAAATTCCGAATTTGCATAACGGATGTCGAGTGACGCTTCCACGACAACCTACGATGGGCTCGGGGATCGACTTGTATTATGAACAACATTTACCACAGCAGCAGCAGCAGGCGCGTGACCAAAATGTACCTCATTCACTCCGCTGGTGTGAACTGGAGGCATCAGGACAAGATGGCGATGCGGCGACCATAACACTTGAAGAGGGTAAGTGGATTTACTGCTAGATCTTGGTATTTGCGTATGTTACATGGTATTCCCTGATACAAATTGCTGTACGATACAATTGCATGTTGGAGTTTCTTAGAAGTAGGCTTCTCGTGTTGGCTCGGTGCGTTGTCTTCAAAGTCTAGGTACCGGCAATCCACCGATGAATATCGGTCTGAGGTGGTATGGTAACCTCGCATATGCCTAATACCCATCCATCACTCCATGTGCTTCAAATACATCATCCAGATGGCTCATCACATATTGTTCGTCGAATATGCAGGGCGATGTAGCCTGAATGCTGTGCCAACAATGGCTTCAAAGAGATACCTAAACCTTCAATAATTGACTTTCAAGACTGGTCTAAGGGCGCCGTGCTGATATGTGTGAAGTCTCCCCCTACAGTCGACAAGAGCCAGTTTGAAACCCCACTGAAAAATTCATGACCTTCCCAGCAGGGGATGGTGTGTGTTCAAAATCTGGTTGCCTCACATATAAAGGGCCCACACAACACATACGAACTCGATGCGCCGCATATCTGGGGCGTGATGTGCTTCGAAGTCGCTCCGGCAAGTTACCCAGTTTGGAGCGGCAATGCTATTTACGGCACCGCTCCAAATCCTCTACGCCTAGCTGTCGCGCGTGCCGATCGCTTCAACATGCATATTTGCTGCACTGCGCCACACGTTCCGAAATTCCCTCTGATGGGCACCGAAACTATTATGCCCTGTGTTCGCACGCCCCCCAGCTGTAGCCAAAATGATTTTTTCACCCGAACCGACACGTGGTTGCCGATATACTCGTGGGCCCAAAGGAAAGTTGTATATTTCGTTGTAGGAATAAAGCTCCATGGAAACGGGCTACATGATTTTCTTTTTTTCGTCCTCGCCCATGAGATTTTTAGGCAGAACTTTCGATGACCCAAGTCCCTCCAATCCTGACTGCTTCAAGAATAACGATGCACTCCCTATGACATTTATATAGAGGGTTTGCTTGTGTCCGAAGCCCTGTCTAAAACCGCATCCTCCCTCTTACGCACACGTTTCTCATGGTTAGATTGCATCACATGTATGAAAACTCGGGGCGTCGTCACCAAATATGTGTTTCACTTTCGGCGTTGACGTGGCGTCCTCGTCGCGGGAACTGATGAATCGGATACCACAAACTCTGCATGATGAGTCTGTTTCTTGAGTTTTCCAGTTACACGACACTGTTGGAGAGTTGGATTTGAATATTCCGCGAAACTAATGTCACAACCCCAAGCAAAATGATACCAATCGGTGAACATTTGGAGCTTCATGGAAACGGGCAACATAAACTTTACTCCGATCGCTCATGCCGCTCACAGCAGATTCGGCGGATTCAGTAACACTCTGCACCATTTGTGACAGGAGCGGAAACTAATGTCAACCCACCTTGCCCTCCTGCACAATCGACCTTCTCTGAACACTATGCGCCATCCGGAGCAGTTTCCGATCCCCACGCTCTCACAAACGATGCTCCGCCGCGGATTTTCGTTCGCCGACACAAATCGGCGCGCTCGGTGACGGGGTTATGGCCCTTTCTGCCTTGCTTGTTGACATTGTGAATCTCTCGCACACCCGTGGGCGAGCGAATCTACGTAGATCTGGAACAGAAAGCCACCAGAAGAACTTAAATTTGCTGGTGTGATCCATGCCTGTGGCCTTGGCGACCAAACCTGAGGACATGCGTTTCGCCGCTGTTGCTGCTATGCTGACACTTTCCGCGATATGTCTTTGAACGAGCATGTGGAGAAGTGGGTGGCGAGGTGGGTGGCGATGTTGGTCTATGAGGGGCTACGGATGAAGGTGCACGGAACAGCGGGTTCATACTTGCGTTTTGGTAGTCGGGATCGTTCCAAGCATACCCATCTGGGTGCTGTGCGCTAGCCAATGTGCTGCCCACGATTCTGCCATGTTCAGGTTGTTCATTCGAAATGCATGTTCAGCGATGGGGAAAATCGTCTCTTTGAAATATGCAGCCGAGGCACCCTGCGCCCTCGTTAGGCCGCACCGTGCGGAAAATTCATGTAGTATCGTAAGTACGCAACCGTATCGAAACGCCGCCGAAGTGATGTTGTGGCCAAGTTCTTGTGCAATCCCCCGTAACCACAGGTTGATTTCGGCAAAGTGCGGCTTGTGCAACAGCTGGGGGGCGTGGGAACACAGAACATGTTGCTTTTAATCATAGTGGTCGGTATCGCAAATAATATTTACGACACCGGTATCGTTAATGGCATTGCACAAAAAAAGTCGTTGCATGTCTCAGCCGATACACCCACCTCTTGATTTTTTGTCCATGGCCGCTCACCACGCTGGCGGACCCTGCAATCCCAGTAGATTCCTGCTGCGACTAAGGGTGGGATGTGTCGATATTATGTTTTTTTTGTCGATAAGTTATTGACTGGTTCAGAGCATTTGGGAAAGTTTCCCACCAACAGAAAGCAACCAGAGCAACGGCCGGCGACAACTTGGGCAAGCAAAAGCCTAGATAAGCGCAGCCCGCCTGTCTGATCTCCTGCAAAAAGAGGTGGCGGGCACCATGAGGATGGTGCCGCACAGTGGGAAGGGTCTCGTCTTGGAGCTGCTTGACAAAGCAATTTTTGGTGAGTAGAAACACGTACTACAGTACAAGCGCATATGTAGGCATAGCCGTCTTCTCACTGCCTGCATGATATCTAGACAGGGCGAAAGACGGCTTTGACCGATACGGTACCGGATATCAGGGGCTATCGAGACCACTCGTTGCTCCTGTGTCAGGCCCACAGCCGTCTCTCCCCCTTCTATGAATCGCACATTCCCGTGCGACCGACCATTGTTGGACCTCGTGATCGGCCTGCTGCGGTTATATCCAATTGGGACGCAATGACTCTGGAGAGCAGACCGGGTGTTCGTGGTGGTGTCGGCAACCTCTAGTGAAGTTCTCCACTGCTAAGTGCTCACGTGTGGGCACGAATTTATACACACATCTTCGAAGATCAGCAGCGATCTGAACCTGGAGACAGGGCGATAGGTCGTATTTTCTATTTCGGATTTCTGAGAATACCCTTACTCCGTTATGAGTAAATGTCCCTGAAGCAGAGTTTGTCCCCTTCTTCTCTTTCGGGTTGTGGTTTTTCACGCCAGACATCGTTTTCTGTACTGGGGTGTACCCGTGAACCGACTTTCGTCGAACGCCAATGAGAATACCGGTATGGAGATTAGGTCCCTGAAGTGGTGAATAACCGTTCACCGACGGAGGTAGTTTCGCTCTTATTTCAATGTGGCAAGGAATGGCCAAGCGTGGCTGACGTTAGTCAGCCTTGCTAGGTTGAAAGGTGAGAGTGAGCTTTTTGGGCTCGCTTCCACCCTCCGGCTGGTCACAGCAGACGGAGGGTCTTCTCGTTGTACAGATCTTCAGACCTCGAGAACGTCGTTCCTGGGGTCAACGGATCTAGACTACACGGTTGTACTGCATCCCGAAGTATGGTGCACGCGCGCACATGCCGACAACTGAAGACATGATAGCTATTGCATCTGTAACATTTCAAAATCCTTGCAGGCTGCAAATGGTCGATGTACAGGTTTCAGAGTGGGGTTTGTATTCGGGCTCTCCAAGGGTGCTCAAGCTCCCACATATGTGGTCTTCTACGGAAAATAGAAGTTCAGACATGCGCGCTGGCTATCTGCGGGGGCAAGCGAGGCAACAGAAGAGCGGTTTCGATATTTTTCACGGCTCAATGAATCACGGTCAGCATACAGTAATAAAGTGCAGCGGCGGGGACCTACCTGAAGCATAGCAGCCAGCAAGCTTTTCGACAGTCTCCGATTCTCACGCTCGTGCTCAGAACTGTGCTGCGTATACCGTATATGACATAAGATAACACACCCCCTTGACCGATTTTCGAACCTCGATTTCTCAACTGCAGGAACAGTAGTCACAGCGCTAAAAACGGCGGCGTTGAAACCGTCTCGTCGAGAGCTTTTCGAAAATGTATCATTTCATTTATGCGTATTCTTCGTCGTGGAGTAATCGAGCTTTGAAAATCGGTCCAGGGGGTGGGTCATCTTGTGTCATATACGGTATGTGGCTTGCCTGGGTGTGTAAGTCACAGAACAACAGCACACCGTAAGAACGTTCCTTGCCGAGCCTGTTGGTTTCAACCAATAGGAGTGGTCAACGCTCACACCACCGCTCACCGCATTTGCCGCCGCAAAACGCTGGCTGTTCCATATTGTCTCTGCCGCCTCCTTCGTGCTCTCTTCCTGTGCCTGCCCCCTTGTATGCGCAGAAACACGAAACACCTGAGAACCGTCTGTCCCACAATACCACTGGTAGTCATGAGAGAAACCGGTACGGTGCCACCCAATTCCGGCGGGAACAACAGCGATGGTCGGCAAGGGCAAGGAACTTGCTCGCGGCCAACTCTGTTTGGAATGCGGAGGAGCTGCTCAGAGTGCGGACGGAAAAAGAAGAGGTGTGATGGTCAACAGCCTTGCGGGTGAGATCGCTATACAGGGTGCAGCACCCCGTCCGAAAATGTCAGGGTTGTTCACGGAGCGGTGTCTGGTACGAAGTATGTAATGCAAAACGCGGAGAGGCGGAGGCGGAGCGGGGCGTGGATGACCGGAGCGGAGCGGTTTTCCGAGATTTTCCAAAGAAGAAACAACACCCGCTCCGTGACGTGACGTGAGCAACAAAACCGCTCCGCTCCATGAGAATTTGGTGTTCGATGACTCCGGACCGTGCCATGGACTCTGTGCGGAAATCGAACTGCGCATTCACTTGGTCGAACGCACATACACCCCTGTGCGATGACTCGAATGTGTACGGTCCTGAGTAAACCTGAAGGCGAATTTTTATCAAGAGTTATGACGGATAGCTCCGGTTTGTCGTTGTCGTTGTCTTGACGTTAAACTCGTGTCAGTTGCTCATCCCACAATCTAGCAAAGACGCGGTCCCACAAAACTGCCGGAGCCATCAGAAGACTAGTCTAAGAGAACACGCAGCAAGCCAGGAAGAAAAGGGTGCACAAGCCCGAAGAGGTACCTGCAGCGCGTTTGAGTGCCCAAAACCTGAACTACCCATCCACACACTACACTGGACTACAGCAGTATCATCCGCCTGTCTCACACTTCACCAAATTGAATATTTGTCGACTACAGCGTACAGCTGTCTGGAGTGCTGCCTGTAGTCTACAACAACCAGTAGGCATGGTACAAATTTGGGGCGCGCAACTAACTGCTGTTTGAAGTCTGTCAGAATGCGTCCGTCCGTGGACATACAATGAAAAAGAACAACCAACCTGAGCCATCCTTGCAATTGACGATCACCGAATCTACATCTGCCTGTGTTGGACACAGCCGTGTAAATAATCGACACTACCCAGTTTCGGACTGGGGCTCCAAATTTTACGGTTTAACCCCTTTGGGTCTGCCTCTTTTTTTTTTGCGGCTATAAAAAAAAGGGAGGAGAGAGTGCGGGGAAAGCCAGAAGTACAGCAGTGAGAAGACGAATATCCTTCTGTGGACGCAACAGCTATCTCCACCCAAAGGCCATGAGGGCTGCCCGCGACAGGACGGTGGACAGAGACAAGATCATAGAAGGGTGGATGTGTGGTCGGGGTGCGGCCAGTGGCGCAGTTTAGGCTTGTATACCTCGAAAAGATCAGTCGTCAAGCCGCCTGAACTACTCTATTTTCAGTATATTCAAATGATCAGTGAAAATGATCAGTGAGAGGGCTTGTAGACCCATAGCTGGTTCTTGTACTTCTGTACTTCTCTGTCCCCTCCCCAATGTGAGCCCTGCCGGCTCACTACAGCTCCTGTGATTTTCCCACAGTTCCCACAATCACGCAAGCACACACCAGCACACACCTACCTTTGCATCAGTGGCACTCTAGGTTCGGGCGAGGGTATGTGTGGGGCTGTGCTGATAGTGTATGTGTTACTACTTAGTCTGCTCTTTAGTTGGACTCGTCTATACGGCTGCTGCTGTGTAGAATAGCCGAGGGCATGATGACTGTGCTGGATCTTGGGAGTGTACGATTTTCGAATTTGGAGGATATATGCAGGGCTTGAAATGCCCCTTTTCGCTGTCCTCCTGTCTTTGCTTTAGTGGCTTCCTAGATCCGGGCGAGGGCATGTGTGTGGAGCTATTGATGTGTGAATCTGTGAAAGGATATGGGGAGAGATTCATGGTGGTATTCGCATGTGGAGCAGTCTGCATTTTTCTAATTTCGGCCGTTCCAGGAACCTTGATATTTCCCACTGGCACTAACGTCTTTTCATTGGCCACCGGGTAGCGCGGTCGATGCGAATAAAAAAGACACACCTACCCATTGACTTGCCAACACCTGGCGTGGAGGGATACAGGGCGGCAACTCCATGGCATGCCACAACACCAGCATTTACAAATGATCAATCAATGATCTGTCAGGACGCCTGTAGACCCAAATGCAGATTATGAGGTAAGAAAGTTTCCTGGAAACTTCGTGCAGGTGAAATTTTTCAGATTTAAGCGGCTTCATGTGATTAGCTGTGGGTCAACAGTCCTCCCACGAACTTCCCCTGTCCGCAGGTGCTGTTGTTTTTTCGTGGTGCGCTACGTGACAGCTAGCTGTGCACCTTGCTTGATGACAAGGGGCTATCACTGCTGCTGCTGTTGAGTGTGCGTGCGTGCGTGCGCGTGTCTGTGTCTGCTTCGCTCCCTCAACCCCAGCACACGAAATCGCACCACACCAGTACGGAGACAGGAAGTGATCACTGTACACTGGCCGACGACAGCCTCTGAACCAACTGCTATGGGCCGTTTAAACACTCCAAACTTTTGTTCCAAAAACTCCAAACTTTTGTTACAAAAGTTTGGAAGCAAAAATAATCATTTCAAACGCTGTGACTTGCTGTGATGTGAAGTTGTTCACAAAAGAAAGAGCCGCGCGAGACACGTGCAGCAACACGCAAGCGATATGCCACACACAGCCCACATAATCGACACCATGGACAACAGCGTGGAGACCACGACAACCCTGCGTGGTCATCACACCAAAGTCCCGGCGAAATACCAGCACAACGGGTCTCTCGGGGCTGCTGTCGGCGGTGGCGGCTTGTTGTCCAGCACCCCGAACCCTCTGCCTGGCTTCAAGGGGACCGCTCGTTCGAACACGGGAGGCGCTTCCGACACCAACACGCAGAGCGAGGGCGTAGCTGGGGGGCCCGGTCATGTGGCGCCCACTGCTTCTGCACAGCAGAGAACGGGTACAAGAAGCGCGGCGGACCATCGTTCTCATGAAGTGGATGCCATCCTCCAGGACGCACGTTTCAATTCTACGTCCGACGGAGGGTCCATCCGTGTCGGCTCATCAAGCAGCGACTCAGGGAACAGCGACAGCGAGTCAGAGGACGATGACCGTGGCCGATAACACGGCAGGGGAGCAGGCGGAGCTGACGGAGGCAGCTCGAGCGGAGCCGGCGGGGGAAGCTCGAGCGGAGCTGGCGGGGGCAGGTTGAGCGGAGCTGGCAGCAGCGCGGCGGTCGAGTCGGTGGCACGGACCATGCGTCAGCTTCAAAGCTCGCTGAATCGCAACCGCAACAAGAGCTACAACAAGTGGTCGGCTTACCTGCTCAGGGAAGCCTGCGCACTGCGGAGGCTCAGCGGCTACTCGAGGTCAAAAGACACAGACAAGATGGCAGCGGGGTTGACGCAGCTCGACATCTTCATGAGCAGGAGCAGTCCGTATCTTGCTGACTTGGAGGACAAGGCAACAGGTGAAGACCCAATGATCACCAGACAATGCTCGTGGTAGTGTTGCCACGAGCCTGTTCTTTCAAGGCTTGCATGGGACCTGGGTAGCTCCGTCGAAATGTGTTGCTTT